CGTCAAATAACAAGAATAATGTCGAAAGTCTCAATGAACTGGGGGCTGAACGGTCATTTGATTTTTTATTTTATTTTGTGTTGTATATCATGATATATACCATTTTTATCATCAGTTATCCCTGAATAAAGATGTCAAAATTAGTTTCTTTCTTGCTAAATTTTACTTTATAATTTCTTATTTAATGTAAAACTTTGCTTATTGATTTATTTTTGTTAGAGGGTGTGTTCACTTGCTAGAGGGAGACACAGAGAGAGAGGGAGAGAAGAGAGTACGCCCTGTGGGGAGTGATCACATCATAACCCCGTCTCCTCCATTGCTTTCAGGATTTGGGGTATGTATCCTCATGTGCCTGGCATACTTCTCAAGCCACCAGGTCCAGGACCTGGACTGCAAGGTCAGCCATGTGAGATCTTGCTGCCTTAGCTACCTAGCCGTGGAGTCGGCATGCTCACTTTATTTTATCTACTTCTTTGAGTAAAAAAGTCGCCTTTTCTTTATGTTTTGACATCTCTTGGCATAGTAGTGAGTTCACAGATAAATATGATTCAGGAATGTAGATGTGGCCTTGGGGAATATAGAGCCTCATAGACAGCTAAGGCATGGGTATAAATAGCAGGAGTAAACCTGCTCACACCAGGAGCACTTCCCACGAGCCAGCATGCTACAGTGCTTTTCAGGAGTTAGCTCTCTTATCCTCACAACAGCCTCATGAGATAGGTTTAACTATCATGCTCAGGGCAAGGACGCAGAGCCGAGGTTCAGAGATGTGTCCATGGGCCACAGCAGAACCAAGCATTCACATGTGCAAAGGGCTTAGAATGGTAGGCAGTGCTAGAGGGTGAGGGCAGGAAAGACAGGGATGTTTCTAGGAGTTTGGAGGCAGGAGGGTGACTTTCGAATGGGGGATTAGGAAAGTCTTCCTAGAAAAGGTGACACGGATCAGGCTCCAAAGAAGGTAAAGCTTTTGTATATTCAGAGTTGGAGGAACATGAAGATAAGAGTGTGAGCAGATGCTGCGTGGTGGGGAAGACTTGGTCTGGCAGGACTTGGATCCGCAGGCTAAGTCTGGGGAAGGATGAGAGAGGGGGTGGTGTAGGACCATGTGGGAGGGCACTGGAAGGGAACCGAACCCACACCTCCAGAGTAACAGGTCACATGATCTCATCAGTTCCATCTCCACAAAGACTCTGGGATACACATGTGACACCCAGGGTTCAAAGCAATTCAGTAAATTTTCAGGGGCCTTGCAGCTGCTAAGGAGTCAGGCTAGGAGTCAACCCAGGCTCGTCTGAGACTGAGTCTGGGTTCTCCTCGGTGCCCTTCTCTGAACACAAGCTTAAAAACTGGGGAATTTATTTTAATATTATATTTATATTTTGTATCATTGAAGGAAAGAAAGCACTGAAGATTGCTTATGATGGGACATATGACAACACTCTTCATGACATCCACGGCCAGCAAAGAGGCCACTGTTTTTGAGGAAGCTCCCCTTGTAGCTTCTGTCAGCAGTGTCCTGTTAAAGAGGATTCTGAAGCCACGTCTAAGATTAGAGGAAAACGGCTTCATGACCAGTAAGCAATGTGGGCCATGCGTGTGGAAGCATAAAGGCCAGTAAGAATTTCAGGCATGGGGCCAGCAGGGGATGTGGTGGTCAAGGTACTGCACTCCTACATGTCCGACCACGGTTCTAGTCTTGGACCTGGCGGCTTGCTTCCTCACTTTCCCTCTGACGCTTTGTCTCTCTCTATTGAGCACATGTGCCCTATAGCAAATTAAATAATAATAATAAAAAATAAAATTTAAAGGGAAAAATGAGGTCCAGGCATGTGAAAAAGAGGTCCAGAGTGGAGGTTATCATGGTGGATAGGGGAGCTAGGTGGCTTGAGTTTAAATCGCAGACTTGACTTCCAGCCTAGTGGATTTTGGAAAGTTTTTCAACCACTTTAGTCCCAATCTTTTCAACTGTAAATGAGGTACCTACTGGGAATAACAGAACTTTCCATACTTGTAGGGAAATTGAGTTCTGAAGTCATGGTAACAACTGGATCCATGAATTGGTTTTAAACTTGCTTAATTAACCAATGACAATTCATTTCAGTGAACATACCTCCAAGAGCCAACCAGAGATCGTGGCTCACTCTTCAAGCCAGCCAATCAGCAGTGGGGTTACCCCAGTGAACACACTTGATATGCTTGAACACTGCTGAACATGTCATGGTCAGTCCAGCACAACCCAAAGCAAACTCTTCATCTCACCATGCAATGGTAATTTGGGCCATCTAGGTGAGGAATAGTCCATGGTTGACTGTAAACTATCTTTGTGCATCTTTAAAATTTTCCATGGGCCAGCCACATGGCCTACTGGTTAAGGGAGCTGATCCCAAATGGCTAAGGCTCGAATCCCAGGCCCAGCAGATTGAAAACACGTTTTCCATGTTTCTCTATCCTGAAAAGATGGAGAAGGGATTGCAATGTGACCATGCCCCACTAGAGGTGCTCTCTCCTTTTCTCTCTCTATTTCTCTTTCTCTCTTCTCTCTCTGTCACACGCACATATTTTCTGGCAATTAAAAATTTTTCATAAATAAGAACTGAATATGTATTTTTGAAAATCATATGACTCGGGACCAGCAGTTAGCATAATGGCTATGTCGCTGGACTCCCACATAGTTGACCGCAGTTCAAGTCCCGACCCGGTGGCTTAAATTCACACCGGGCGCGTGTGCGTGCGTGCCCAAGATCCCAAGAGGAGAATGGAGGAGAAGGGATTGTGGTGTGACCATCCCCCCTAGGGGGTGATTTCTCGCTTTCTGTCTCTCTGTCTCTCTCTGTCTGTCTGGTGAGCGCACGTGCCCTGTAGTAGAAAAAAAAACCTCTCCAAAAAAAGAAAAAAAAAAACAAAACAAAACACATACGACTCTCGACTCTCCCCGAATGCTATGTCTTTCCAACATAAGTAAGAAATTTGATGTTTTGGTGGCAGATATGAAGTGGTGATCTCCATAGCTAAGCTGACAGGAAGATCTGTTGTGAGGATAGGTGGGGCAAACACATGCGAGGCATTTAAGAACATGCCGGACACACAGCATGTTAACGGACACGTGTGTCTGAGTATCTTCATTGTTTCCTCCCTGCTATTACCTTGCAGAAACTTCTTCCTAAAGGTCTGGAGTCCTTCTGAGGTCTTGTTTCCGACTGACGCCCTGATCGTGAGGCCAGTGATGTTGTCGAGCAGGAGCAGATCTGAGAGGTTGGCAGACAGGGGTGTCTTGGTGTTATTGACGAGAAGCTGTACATGTGCTGTCTGTGATGCACTCTGCCCAGACACCTAGGACAGGAGACGAAATGTGGACAGGGCTGCTGACAAGTCCAGCTTCTTAAATGAGGCACAAACCTGCCTCGTGTGCATTAGGTCTCCAGAAAGAGGGAGGGTACCACAGTCTCACAGAGGTTCTGAGAATTTATCAGGCTCCGTCTGACTTCAAAGGCCCCAGGAGTTCTGCCCCACATTTGCTGAGCTGTTGCTTGGAGACAGTTTCAAAGAAATCGGGCCCATGAAATGCAGTGAAATCATCCCTGCAGAGAAACTCAGAAGAAATAGATCCAAGTGCAGAACCACAGTCTGCTTAGGGAGAGTGTGACCATTGGTGTCATCAAGAAGAGCAAACAATGGCTCCTTTGTATTTATTTATTTATTTATCTGGCCAGAAGGCACACGTACTCACTGGAGAGAGAGAGAGAAAGAGTGAGAACTCACTCCTCAAGTGAGGGTGGCCATGCTGTAATCCCTTACCCTCCATTCTCCTCTTGGGGTTTTGGGCATGCATGCACATGCATCTGGTGTGATTTTCAAGCTGCCAGTTCTGGGACTTGAACCATGGCTGGCATGTGGGAACCCAGTGCCTTAACCACTATGCCACTTGCTGGTCCTGAATTCAGTTATTTTGAAGATCAAGACCCAGACCCAGACCCAAGAGTCTCTGATGGCCTTCTGATCTCCAGGAACAACTTAAGCTGGTCATCTGGCCCCTGGCTGGTCTCCATCTAGGCTCTGCCCAGCTGTAAAAGGACCCAGGTGGTCCATGTGGAAGGACCACCACCTGAGCCCTGCTCTCCTTTCTCTGACCTGATCTCCCGCCACCTTTGTATCCTCTTCTCCCCAGCTCTGCTGAAACAGATGCAGGAGCTAGAGAAAGGAGAAAGAAATGAGGTATGTTCTGAGATGAGCATGACTCAGAATAAGTGAAAAAGCAAGCTTCATAACTACTGGCAGTCATGTAAAAGGGGGGGTATATATGTATATGTGCATGTGTCCTTACACATACAACACACACACACACTCATAATTGTATATGTGTTGCATGTCTCTAGAAGGACACACGAAAAACCAGTCACACTGATGGTATTCTGGAAAGCAAGTAGGCAGCCAATGGCGGGGAGAAAATGCAGCCTGTGCAGTAAAGGGTTAACTTAGTATGTTACTGCTGTCCAAACCCTATACATTCTGGAGAAAGGAGTAACTCATAACCAGCTCCTGGGAGATAACCTGTAATATCCTCCTTGATAAGAGTGCTCTGTGATGACCACGGTTTGAGTCCTGGCCCTGACGGCTTGCTTTCTCACTCTTTCTCTCTCTCTGGTGAGTACACATGCCCTAGAGCATATTTAGAAAACAAATAATAATATTAACATGTGCGTAAGTGCCCAAAATCACTTTTTTTTTTTAATCCCTCTCTGTCTCTCTCTCCAGCAAGTGCATGTGCTGTATGGCAAACAAACAAAGAGTGTTTTGGAAAACCGTGGCCTTGCTAGGTAGCTGCCAGGTAGCAGATGGCAGCAGTGTGATTACTAGTAGGTACTATGGGTTACATCAGTGTGCCCTCTGGAGGGGTTAGAGAATGAGTAACTGAGGTCAGGCTCAAGGGTGCTCCATGGCTATGAGACTGAATCCTGAATACAATCCCAAATGCCAAAGCTCGGGCTAGCTTCGCTGACTAATAATCATCCATATCTGTCACTCATTGTTGCTGGGAGAATTAGACACTGTCCACAGAACTCCACTGGGAAGAGCTACTGGAAGTTCCTATCTGGTCTCTCCTGGGCTCTTCCACATGTGCCTTTTTCATTTGCTGACTTTAATTTGTAACCTTCATTGTGAGTATAAGGGCTTTTTTGAGTTCTGTAAGTCCTAAGAGCAAACCCAGAATCGAAAGAAGGCGTTGGGCACCCCAAACACAAGGATAATGTGAAACTTTAAGTAAGATAGAGACCTTGAAAACATTCAACATGGTTTTTAAACTCTTATTTTTTAAAAAGAGTTTATAATTATTATTGCTTATAATCTGAAATAAAACATAACATACTTTCTTTCCCATTCTAAATCATCACTCTAGATTTTTGCTAACAGTAATTTGTTACCAAAAAATTCTCAATCCTAGTGTTACCATACAAGATAGCAGATCTTTTGATATTTACTTCAACACTTATGTATCTAGACAGGGGCAGGTAAGCCCTCAATTTGCTAGTTATTAAATACAAGATTCTACTAACATGATTCGGGCAATTACCAATTACTTCTTGTTCAACTATTAGCCACCAATGGAAACTTACCAGGGCACATTTCTGAAAAATCACTCCATTCTCAGAAGTCCCTCGAAGTTCTCTTGAAATGTCTCCATACTAAAATAAAATATAAAAATTATTGGAGCATGACAACTATTTTATGCTACACGTATTTAATAAAAGTACAAGATGATGAGCTTTTTTTAAGAAAGAGATTTTTCCTATAGGGTGCATGTGCTCACTGGAGAAACAGAGAGACAGAAAGCAAGAAATCACTCCCGCGGGGGAGGGGGTTGGTCAGGCTGCAATCCCTTCTCCTCTATACTCCTCTCAGGATTTTGTGCATGCATGTACACATGCCCAGCTTGAGTCTGAGACTGCCGATCAGGGACTTGAACTGTAGTCAATTACATGGGAGCCCAGTGATGTAACCATTATGCCATTTGCTGGTCCCAAGATGCTACACTTTTTTTTTTTTTCAATTTTAGTTTACACTTAAAGATATTTATCTTTACAGGGTACCACATTGCTTTTTCCAGCATGAATACCATGCATATTAGTCAAGACAAAAACATTACTACATACATTATCATCAGCAAACAGCTTTTCATTTTTTGTCAATTAAACATACTTTTATTCTTCTCCCGTTGCCGTTAACCCCTCCATGACCCAACCCCATAACACCCTATCCTTACTATCTCTAGTGTCTACAGTTGTCCTTTCTGCTACTATCCCTTCCAAACTTTCAGCTTCTGCTACAGAGCACAGACAATCGGCATATATTGAGGGCACATACAAACTTTGTCTTTAATAGTCTGCTTGCTTCACTTAACATTAAGTCTTCCATATTCGTCCACTTTGTATCTGATAACAGGGTCACATTGTTTTTGATGGCTGAGCAATATTCCATAGAGTATATATGCCACATTTTTTCAATCCAGTCATCTATTTTTGGACGTTTGGGATGATTCCATGTCCTAGCAAATAAACATGGATGTGCATTTTTCTGACTGAGGGTTTTTCCATCCTTTGAGTAAATACCTAATAGAATTATTGGGTCATATAAGAGTTCTCATTGTAAGTTTCTGAGGACTCTCCATATCGTTCTCCAAAGTGTTTGTATTAATTTGCATTTCCACCAACAGTGAAGGAGAGCTCTCTTTCACCAAAGTCTCACCAGCACTGATCATTAACTTTTTTTTTTTTTCTTTTTAATTTTAGCCATTCTGACTGGGGCTAAGTGGAATCTCCTTGTGGTTTTAATTTGCATCTCCCTTATGACAAGAGATGTCGAGCACATTTTTATATGCTTTTGGGCCATTCATATGTCTTTGGAGAATTGTCTGTTCAGTTCATTTTCCCTTTTAATTGGATTATTATTATTATTATCATTATTATTATTTTGCATAAGCTGCTTGAGTTCCCTATATATTCTGAGGTATAGTTCCCTTATCTGAGGCATAGTTTGCAAATATGTTTTCCCACTCTAAGGGCTGTCTTCTCACTCTATTTGTTTCTCTTTCTGTGCAGAAGCTTCTCAGCCTAATATAGTTCCATTTGTCTATTTTTGGGACTATTGCCTGTGCTCTGAAGGTCTTCTTTAAAAAAAAAAAAATATTTCTTTTTATTTGACCAGAGAAAGACAGAAACACAGAGAGAAAAAAAGTAAAAAAGCAAGCCACCAGATCTGGGACTCAAACTGTGGTTGGCAATGTGGAAGTGTCCAGTGCCTTAACTACTATGCCACCTGCTGGCCCTGGAGGTCTTAAGAAGTCTTTGCCTACTCTAAGGTCTCCTAGAGTTTTTCCTGTGCTTTCCACTAGTATTTTTATAGTTTGAGGTTTTATGTTTAGACCTTCAATCCATTTTGAGTTAATTTTTGTAAGTGGTAAGAGATAAGTATCCAGTTCCATTTTTCTGCAGGTGGATATTCAGTTCTCCCAGCACCATTTGCTGAAGAGATTTTCTTTTTCTCACTGGATTGTCTTGTGCCCTTTGTCAAGGATCAGTTGGTTCTATGTTTTGGGGATCATTTGGGGGTTCTTAATTCTGTTCCATTGGTCTACCTGTTTTTGTGCCCATACCATGCTGTTTTACTTATCACAGCTTTGTAATATGTGTTGGGGGTTGGGAAGTGAGATGCCTCCTACTTTATTCCCCTTGCAAAGTATTGCTTCTATGATAAGAGGCCTTGTATGCTTCCAGACACATTTTTTTGACTTTTTTTTCTATTTCTGTGTGGAATATCTCTGATAGTTTAATTGGGATGGCATTAAATTTCTAGATTTATTTGGGAAGGACTGACATTCTGATTATATTAATTCTTCCAATCCAGGAACATGGGACGTTTTTCAACGTTTTTGAATCACTTTAAATTTCCTTTTCTAGTATTTCAAAGATTTCCTTGTAGACATCTTTGGTAAGGTTTATTCCTAGATATCTTATTGGTTTTGTGGCTATTGTAAATGAGATTTCTTTCTTCA